TCCCTTAATTATAATCCACCTAGCGGCAGTGAGGGGAACCTAGACATCCTGCCTTGGTGGGAGAGAGAGTTTGTTCTATACACCATGACCACTAGAGAGAGAGCTGCCACATCTGGTCACTAGATGTATGACCAGAAAGGATGAACGTTAAGTTGTGAAAACCCATTTAGTTGCCACAAGGAGTTTGCTGGTATTTGAACCTTAATTAAGAATTTGCTGTATTATTATTTTCTGTGTATCTCATTAATTAAGTTAGACCATATCTTATAGTTAAGTATGGCCCAAAGACTGGCATCTGCCAGCAAACTTTTTGTTACCTGACCTTCACAATAAAGTGTTGAGAAACTTTTGTAGCAATTGAAAGGGTGCTTTTACAACTGTTGAACCTAATTCTAGAAGGTGAAAGCTGATGTCTTATTTAGTTTTTCTAGCAATTCTTTTTATTCATTTCTATTACATTTTACAAAAGTGTTGATTTAGTTAGATTGGAAATTTGAAAAGCAAGTTTTTCTGAGAAGCATCACTGTAGTATATAGGGAGCCGGGTTGCAGTGGTGTAGAAACTTGTATAAGGCTTAGCAAATAACATAATCTCTTGGTTTTATGTAATAAATTGAGACTTTCTAGCAGGCTCTGCATAGCTAAGTCAGAGATGCAAGAAATGTAAAATTTATATTTTCTTTAATACCAAGAGGGTAGGGGATTCAGTCTCAGTTATTATTGCCCACCCTTGCCATACCCCGCTGCATCCAGGGAGGCTTATACATGGGTCCCAGAAAATGAGGACACGGTAGCTACCTACAGCCTCATTGCCTGAGCCATCAGTAGAGTCATCAATTTCAGGGCTCCCTGTGGCCGAGGCTGGGGCTTCTGGTGCCCAGTCCTCCTGTGTCCCATGCCTCTATCTCTGGATGATGTCTTGTTACCTTGAGCTGTGGGCTGCTGCCTCCAAGCCAACCCAGATACCAGCCCGGTCTCTCACTCTCTGAGTTAGGACACTCAGTTCCCCCTCTTCAGGGAACCCCGGCTATGGAAAACCAAAGCTGGAAAGGGAAGTATTTCCAGGCTACTTTTATTCATGGGGTCACCATTACAAACTTCCCTGGAGGCAAGGAAGCACAAAATGCCTGGGTAACATTGTAGGAAGAGGAGGGGTAGGGGGAAGGGCAGTTGAAGGAAAGCACACATTACTATCAATACATTTACCCTTGCAAAATGAGGGCAGAGAGCCCTTCACGACAGCTTTATTGGAGGATGGGGTGAGTTACTGTACTAAAAATGAAAGGTAGAGTGCTTAGCACACAGTAGATCCACAGGATTGTAAGTCCCCTGCCCTCCTAGAGGCGCTGACCTGATTTCCAGGCTAGGATCCTGCATTTCTGCTTGTACTTGACTGCAGTCTTGTTTGTGTAACACTTGCCATTGTGTTTGGATGATTTCCTCCAGCTGCAGCCCCCTCTCCTTTTATGGGATGGACTCTCAGCCAAGGGTACTTCATCTGGCATCCATGGAACCCAGGCTTTATTTCCATGGATGACTTCAGAGGGTTTCAGTTTGTTTGGAAGTTTTATATTTTATCTATATTCTTTTATTTGATTACTCTTAAATTTTTAACAAATATATTTTTTTCTTAGCAAAAGTATCAGATATACTCATCTGCTGTTTCCTAGAAGATGTTAATTTAGTAGATGTGAGATGGGGCCTGAGAGTCTGTATTTCTCACAAGCTTTCAGGTGATTCCTGTTTGGCTGGTGTGATGATCTCATTTACATGAGCAAGGCCAAAGAGGCCTTTTGACTTTGTGGACTTGCCTTCCATTGCCCATTAATTGCATGAGCTGCTATTTTCTTTTTGTAAGATACCTAGTCATCAGAAGCAGCATCTGAAATCCTTACAATTACATGTTTCCATGCCACAACCCTTTGATCTCCTAGTGTCTTGACATCTGTGTGCACATCATCCTAGTTAAGCATAGGTAAAAGCTTAAGTAATTGCACACCAGGGACTATTATCATCCTGTTCACCTCCAGCTATGGAGCCTCTAGTCCTTACAGATAGGTGGCTAGTCTAAGTTAAAAATTCCACTGTGAAGACCTACTTTTTATTATAGAACTACTCCTAGTATCAGTGATTTTCTCTAGAGGACAGAACCTGAGGCCAAGATTAAAGTGATGGCTGTTTGAGAGCAAAAACTCAGGGAAGGGAGGGTGAGGACAAAGGGCAACAACCAAGGGAATATGTAAGGTCATGTAGAGTGGTGCTGCCTGCACCTGGGAGTGCCTCTCTCTAAGAGCCATGAAGAGGCCGAGCAGGTGCAGCTATGCAGTACACAGCCCTTTTTTTTGGAGGCCTGCAAAACACAACTAATCATCCAGCATATTCCTGGTTGGCAGGAGCAGCGGGGGAGTTCTCTTCTCAGCTTTGGCTTCTTTTCTTTTCCCGTGATACACTCACTGGTCAGGATGCCAGAGCCCACCATCATTGTTCTTCCCAAGCTGGAAGTGGCAGACACTCTGGGTGTACAGTTGGGCAGTTTGGCTACAAGAGGCACCCAAAGCAAGGGGGATAGCATTACCAGGGCAAGTGGCTGGTCAGCCTCTGCAGTGGGTGTGGAGTCTGAGGACGTGCATGCGATCTGCCCAGTATAGCACGTGAGGGGCAGAGGCCCAGGGCAGGACATCTGGCCATCTCTGTACACAAGATAAGGCAAAGAGAAGAGAGGAAATGACATGCATTGTTGATAATCTATAGCAACTGGCTTTTCTTTTTGAGCCCACATGATAGAGAACTAGGAAGTCTTTTATTTCTGTTTTTGTCAAAATACTGAGTCAGCTGGAATGAAAGGACACTAATTTATCAGTGGAGACCTGCCTCTCCCCAAGCATGTGGCAGCTGTGCTAACTGCTTGTCATACTCGCTCTCATCAGTTGGCTGGGGGACGCCTCTTCCTTCCCCTCAAGTTGCCTTGTGTGTGAAAGCAGCTGCATGAGTGCGGCATTCCTGGCCTCCCCCTGCTTCCCTCTGTCTCAGGGATGGAGAAGTGACTTAATCTGATTTGTGAGTCCAGAATGAGAAACCTGGCCCTTCTGCCTTTTTTTCAGGGTTCTGTTCAGCAGGGAGCACATCTCTTCTTTCTGCTCTTCCCTGTCATCAGTCTTCCAGGTCTCCCCCAGGCCCTGCCACCACCGCATATACCCTTTTCATTTTTATTCGGTTGGATGAGCGTGAAGAAGAGAAGAAAGGAACTGACTTTTTGAGCTTCTCCAAAGATCCCAGCTCCACTGTGTGCCAGACTGGAGCTCTGAAACATTGCCAAGTTACTGAATCTCATCACGAGACCTCAGTTTTCTTTTTTCTTTCTTTCTTTTTTTTTTTTTTTTTGAGATGGAGTTTCGCGCTTGTTACTCAGGCTGGAGTACAATGGCGCGATCTCGGCTCACCGCAACCTCCGCCTCCTGGGTTCAGGCAATTCTCCTGCCTCAGCCTCCTGAGTAGCTGGGATTACAGGCACGTGCCACCATGCCCAGCTAATTTTTTGTATTTTTAGTAGAGACGGGGTTTCACCATGTTGACCAGGATGGTCTTGATCTCTTGACCTTGTGATCCACCCGCCTCGGCCTCCCAAAGTGCTGGGATTACAGAGACCTCAGTTTTCTTATAAAAGAATAATAACATCTATCTCATGGTATAGTGTGTAGGAATTAAATGAGATAATATGGTTAAGATTTCTAGCCCTTAGAAAGTACTCAATAATGATAATTCTTGTTACTATGATCTACTGGCTTTGGAGAGATTAAAAATAAGCCTGGTTCTCCTTCTGGATAAGGCACTTGCCATTTTCAGATATGGCTGGGCGAGTTCCATTGCATTGATGGGTAATTCTAATGTTTCCCATTCAGAGAATTTCTGAGGCTAGCTCTAAGTCTTATTTTATGAGTATGGAAATGCTTTTCTCTCATTTCCCTCAGCATCGATTTCTCTTTCAGAGTTGATGCAGAGGTGTGGATAGTCAGGTGCATTTTCCTTCAAAACTGGAATCTTGCCACTGTCCCTCTCATTTGAATGATGTGATTTTGAAGTCAGTGCTGCTGATACCCTCTTTCCTCAGAGTGATGTGCGCTTCATAAGCCCCCTCATGCATAAAACCAAATTTGAGTGCTGAGGCTTTGGAGTCTGTGTGTGAGAAGCCTCAGAAAAAGAAATCACACTTCATTAACAAGAAGAATGGCTTTGGAAAAAAAGCGTGTACAGTATACAACATGTTAGTACATTTCCAGGAAGTGATGGCAAATCAGTCAAATCAAGTTGCAGATGTAGTCAGGAAATTCTCGCATGATTGCGAGTTTCCCATACAAGATTTGGGTGGATAAAGTCAAATGAGTTATACCTAGTTCTTCAAAAGCACAGCAGTGCCAGCTCATCCTCGAGTCACCTTTGGATTGAAATCTTCCACACTGCAGTTCATGGCTTTGCTGTTGAATTATGAAGTGTTTGTGTCTGTGCTGTAAAGTGTTGGGATTCAGGAATAGAATCAAATTCCAGAAAAATACCACCACAACCACCGTCCCAGAACACCAGCAGGATTTCTCTTTGCTCAAGGAACACTTCTTTCCCTCATGGTTCACGTGCTTCGCTTGTTTTATAGTTTCTGATGCTCTGGTATTAAGTGGAATTCCTGCCGTGGGGCCCTTATATTCTAGATATCACATATGCTATAGGTTTTGTCCTTTCTGACTTTAAAAAGGATAAATTTAAAGACAATACTGTTGCTGCTGTTGCCAAGTCATAATCAGTATAACATGTCTTTAGGGGCAGTAACTCATTCCCAGTATTTTCACCAGAAAGAAACATTTAAGGTCATTCTTTTCGGGCCACTCTTGAAGATTGTTGTCACGTCATTTATTATCTTTATGACCAGTGTGTTCCTAAGCTATGCTTGCTGTGTGGAGAGGCAGATTTTCTTACACATTGCATAAAATATTGTTTGTATTTTTCAACTAGGTGGTTGTACTACAATCCCAGAGTCAGACTTAGAAGAAAGATCAGTAGAACAAGACTCCACAGAACTGTTTACCAACCACAGACATCTCACTGCAGAGACCTCCAGGCCTGGTAAGAGAATGGGTGGCCTTCACAGTGTTAAGTCAGAAGGAGTGACAATCTGTACAGTTTTTGTCATACCAGAGAGCATTCTGTAAAGCTGCTTGTTTTCCAATTTCTTCATCCTTCCCCTTAGCACTGGTGCAGCTGAATTTGATCTTTTGTGTATTCCTGTCATTATTCAGACCTTTTCTCTTTCTTTCTCTCTTACTCTTTTTTTCCAGAAGTTTCACCCCTCCAAGGAGTCTCGGAATAATCCAAATAGAGTTGTTTGGTTGAGAGGAACATGCCCGTCTCAAGGCTGAACCTGTTTGAACCTCATGCTAAGCACAGTTATAGGGCTGGTGCAGGTGCTTCCTAAAGCTTACCTTCCTGGAGATGACACTGCATAGAGAGGGGGGTTGGGACTTTATATTTTGCTAGGAGGACTTGTAACACCATGGGCAAGTCAGTTTAAACTTGTCTTGTTTTGCCAGGAAAGGAAGTAGTTGCCTTTGGTCATCCATGTGCTAATAGTCACAGAATACAGTGAGTTGACATCGTTTTGGGATAGATTTTATAATGCAGAGATTCAGATCCAAAATAATTTGATAACCCATTTTTTTCACAGAATTCTTATAGAGTACATGTATCAAGTTTAATAAAGCATCTCATTGTCAAACAATATCTTGCTTTTTATTTATAATTAGAAGGATTTATAAGTGATTGCTCTACATTATTTCTTCGAAGGAAAGGAAACGAATCGAAAACTTTGCTACTCCATGGTAAGACCTGAACGTGATTATTTTAGAAATAAAAGAACCGCTATGAAACTTTCATATGATTTGTTCCATTAGGCTAACCGTGGAAGAAGGTAAGTTTTCTAGTATTATATGAAAATGTTTAAGTATTTTCAAGAAAGCTAGCATATTAACATACCCTTTCATTACCCCATTGGGTGACACCTTTTAAAAAATCCAGGCTATAAAAGGATTCACACATTATTACAGTTAAAATTTAAGGTTTTTATGTATAAGAAATGAAAGAAAGTTTGCCAACTTCAAGTTAGAATTACAGTTGTGAGACTGATTTATTTAAATAAAAATATGTCTTTGCCAGTTTTGGAATGCCTTCTCTGTACAAAGGGGAAAGTTGTTCATGGTTTTTCTATATGTGAAATGTCAAAAAAACAAAACCAAACAAAACTGCAGAGGCTGTATTATTTATTTGTAGCATACTCTTTGAGGAGATGCAGATGTATTATCAAAATAACGTGATTATGATCATTTATAGCCATGATATGAGCACAAAATTTTACTGAAATTATAATTTTCTTTTTAAGTCTTTCATGTCTTCTGATTCAAAAAGCAAATACATCAGTGAAATATAAAAACAATTATAGCGATGGTTCTGAAAGAGCAGCAGAAGGCTATGTGGATTCCTTTGGATGCCGTCTTAATAACCCTGTGATTTATGCAGTGTGAATTAGCTGGTGTTATTTTTCTATTTTAGGATCTGAACTATGGAAGCTATGTGGACATCACATGCATTAAGGGTTTTGTTGCTTTGAACTTTAAAGGATATAACTTATGGTACAGCGTAACTGCCAAGGCCTAATCAGAGTAAGATGCCTGTTGGAATAACCACATTTCCCAGTGCTTAATGTCTGGGGCAGAGAGAGGGTCTCTGTTCTGGCTAATGTGGGAAAACATTGCAAACACCCTACTTCCCAGGTTTGCCATCATTTCGTTTTAATTGTAAACTCAGACCCCAACCCTTCACTTCAAGGCTCATTTTGAATAAATTATCTCCTCATCCCTATACCAAGAGCCACCTTTGAGGTCCTCTTGGAATAAGTGGACAAGGCATCATGGATTGTGCTTTTAGCCCCATAATCTGGCCCTTTATTATATTCTCCTCATTTTTGTCTTTTCATTTGCTTCAACATTTTGTGTATTCTGTCTTGTGTCTCTCTTATATGCCTCTTAAATCACTTCTGTAATGGAATGGGGAAATGAATATAGTCACACTGTCTCCTCTTCAAGTTCTCCTGATCACTTTTCTTGACAATCATCTTCCCTTCTTTAAAATCCCTGGAAAACTCTGTGCCTCTCTATATACCTCTCTCTGACTTATTGTATTTCAGAAGTCATGTTTTCCTTTCCTGGTGGGATAGATTTGCAAGCTCCTTGGACATAACTGTTCTTAGATAGTTTTTCTGTTTGGTAAATATTAGTTGTATCAAAAGATCAACTGATTTCCTCAAAGAAGTCAACAAGTCATAGAGAAAAGGAGAAGCCAATTATTTAGAACATTGGCTGTGATCTAACCTTTCTAATTTAGCTGAGAGGAAGCTGATGTGACTATCCTACTATTTTTCTTAAATTTGGCTTTTAAGACAGATCTGAATCTTAAAAATTCAATACTTAATAATTTTGTTCATGAATACTTGGGTAACATTGATTTAAACACAGGATTCAGGTTTTAAATAAAAGGAATAAAAATTATAATAAAACAGTTATAAAAATGAATATAAGAATAACAAATCACAATGTAAAAAGCTTATAATCACCATAGATATCACAAAATTCATATGAATATATTATTCATATTAACTCCTTGATATACCTTTTTAATACTTCTGCATTTTTTGCACACATTTCTTATTCACTTGTTTAATTATTAACAATTTGTAATTTCATTTTTTACAGAGTGAATTAAAATATAATTTTTTTCTCTGAAATTGTTGATCAGACTTAAAAATTACTGATAGGTTGCAAAAACTTCTTTCAGCTTTAAAACTCATCATTTGTAATGTCAGGCAGGTTTTTAGGATTATCATATTATCAGGGCATTTTAATTTTTCTTATACAGTGATACATTTTAAATAGTCATGGAATTGACAACTCTCTTTTTTTTTTTTTAGAATAATTTCAACTTTTATATTAAATTCAGGGGGTGCATGTGCAAGTTTCCTACCTGGGGATATTCAGTGGTGCTGAGGTTTGGAGTGCAATTGATTCCATCATCCAGGTACTAAGCATAATACCCAATAGCTATTTTTTTAACTCTTGTCCCCTCTCCTCACCTCTAGTAATCCCCAGTGTCTGTTGTTGCTCTCTTCATGTCCATGAGTACCCATTGTTTAGTTCTCACTTATAAGCGAGAACATGCGCTAGTTGGTTTTTTGTTCTGGCACTAATTTGCGTAAGATAATGGCCACTAGCCGCATTCATGTTGCTGCAAAGGACATTTTTTTTTTTTTTTTTTTTTTTTTTTTTTTTATGATTGCATGGTGTTCTGTGGCATATATAGACCACATTTTCTTTTTTCAGTCTACTATTGATGGGCACCTAGGTTGATTCCATGTCTTTGCTATTGTGAATAGTGCTGCAATGAACACGTAAGTCCATATGCCTTTTGGTAGAATTATTTATTTGTTTTGGATATATACTCAGTAGTAGGATGACTAGGTGGAATGGTAGTTCTAAGTTCTTTGAGAAATCTCCAAACTGCTGTCTACATTGGTTGAACTAATTTACATTTCCAGCAAAAGTGTATAAACATTTCCTTTTTCCTACAGCCTTGCCAGCTATTTTTTTTTTTTTTGACTTGTTAATAATCGCCATTTTGATTGGTGTGAGATGGTGTCTCATTGTGGCTTCAATTTGCATTTCTCTGATGATTATTGATGTTGAACATCTTTTCATGTTTGTTGAATGCTTATCTATGTCTTTTGCATATTTTTAAATGGGATTATTTGTTTATTTGTTTAGGTTCCTTATAGATTCCGGATATTACACCTTGGTTGGGTACATAGCTTGCACATATTTTTTCCTATTCAGTAAGTTGTCTGTTTACTCTGTTGACAGTGTCTTTTACTGTGCAGGAGCTCTTTAATTTAATTAGGTCCCACTTAACAATTTTTGTTTTTGTTACATTTGCTTTTGAGAACTTAGTCATAAATTATTTCCAAAGTCCTATGTCTAGAATTATGTTTCCTAGGTTTTCTTCCAGTATTCTTAGAGCTTGAGGTCTTACATTTAATATTTTATTCATTTGGGGTTAATTTTGCTATATAATGAAAGATAGGGGTCCAGTTTTATTTATTTTTTATTTTTTTATATCCAGCACCATTTATTGAATAGGGACCTCTTTCCCATTGTTTATTTTTGTTGCTGTTGTTGAAGATCAAATGGCTGTAGGTGTGCGAGTTTATTGCTGGGTTCTCTATTCTGTTCCATTGGTCTTTGTGGAAATCGACAACTCATTAACCAGCTTATCATCAAAATGCTTATCGAAATGATCTTCATTACCACTAGTATTTTGTTTCAAATCAGCAAGATATTTAAATATTTTTGGAATATGTTCATGTGATTTACTCTTCATTAGCTAGATTGTTAGACAAAACTAAAGTCTTGTTTATTCTTTTTCAAATTTATCATCTCATCTTAATGAGTTAATCTTGGTATGCTTTGAAAATGTTTTTGTTATAATTTGCTTATTTATAGAGTAACTTTTGTCCATTTCATATAGGAGTTATATGGGAAAAATTATTTTATGATGAGTTTGTAATTGTGTACTCTGAATTATCAAATATATTCTTAACAGACAAGAAGTTTTGCTTTGACTTGGGGTCCATGAAACTGGAATCTTACTGCTTATGCTTTTACATGTCTGATGGTCAGAACGTCAGATTTCATATGTTTCAAATCATGTTTTATTTTTAATTTATTTATGCTTCTGGTGCTAGGCTGCATAGAACATGCTTATCTAGTGATACAGCATTTTGCTTTATATCTTCTTCTCATGACACTTGGTAAGTAAGAGAAGTAGTAGGTAGTGATATTCCTGGAATCCATTCATCCAGCAGAACAGCTGCCAATAATTTAACCATATACAGAGTTGTCTGCAACTTACTAACCCAAGTTAAATGTCTCTTCAACTCAACTTCTGCTTAGCCAGATTGTCAAGGCCACCACCCTTCCAATGCCTGCTACAAGGGGAAGACAGGCAGGAGAGACAGTAGTTTTCACCAGTCACAATTAAAGTATCTTTTTAAATTATACAAAAACATGATCATGCATCTGGGCAAGAAAGTGCCCTGAAATTTAAGCCTGATTAGCATCACAGTAAATCTGTTATAACAGGGGCAAACAAGTGGGAGACGGAGAGGGAGAGGGGGAATAGAAATTACACTTTAAATAATTTGTTTGTTAATTTCCTCCGTGGTTGACATAACTCCAAAATATGTATGGGATAGAAGTATGAGTGTGGCAGGTGGAAAGGGTGGATTTTGTAAGTGCTTAGTCAGTTCTATACTGCTATAACAGAATACCACAGACTACCACAGACTGGGTAATTTATAAAGAACAGAAATTAATTTCTTAGCATTTTGGAAGCTGGGAAGTCCAAGTTCAAGGTACCAGAAGGTTTGATATCTGGTAAGGGTCCCATTTTCACTTATAAGATGGCACCTTACATCCTCCAGAAGCAGGAAGCAATGCTACTCCTCGCGTGGCAGAAGAGCCAAGCAAGGTAGGGCAAGAGAGAAAGAGCGTGTAGGGGGCCAAATTCAACTTTTGATAATGAACTCACTCTCAAGATAATGACATTAATCTCTTCATGAGGGCAGAGCCCCCCTGGCCTAATCACCTCTTAACAGTCTCACCTCTAAATATT